TCATGCCCGATTAAGTGTTTAAATTAGTGATTTCTGTTAAACCTTTGGTTGGAAAATCTCTGTTATATCGAAAACCTTGAGCTAGGAAATATCGCTCAGCTCACCAAATTCAGTATTTTTGTCCATCAATGAATGGACAGTTGCAATCCTTCCAGCCTCACATTTCCTGAAATAAGTTAAATTTAGGCAATTCAAATATTAAAATGTAATTTATGTGAACTAGCCAAATTAATCCCATTTATTTAAATGAATAACTATTTTCTACTAAACCACTGAAAAAAATTGGCACCCCATACAAACAAAACCAAAAAATGCTAATTAAATTCTAGAGTAAATCAAATACTAAAAAGTGAGCACTAGTAAACAGCATTTCAAATCTTTGAACTAAATGGTATCGAATCATAAGCAACAACAATGGAATCTTACTAGTGATCAATACAGCTCTGGTTACTACAGTTCATTTTCATTTCAAATAATAGATACCAGTTCTGCAGTTCTGGTTTGCTTAAAAATAAGAGACATACCCAGAAGTATGAAAGCTGCGCTTGAATGGATCGGTGGGGCATGGCGGTCCGGGTTTTCTGAGAACCACCAAACCGATGATGCAGCAAATGTGTCCTGTGGAAACAACACCCAGCTGCCCAGCAACCTGCCGCAGGTACAGAATGATCTGGCAGGACCACTGGCTTCTACGTCAGGGAGTCTCTACAGCAGTTTAATCGCTACAAATCCAATGTGGAGATTTTCAGATTACAACCAAATAAACCCACTGGGGGAGTTGGTGATGTTTATGGCACAAGTTGGTCACTGCCACCCAGACATCGATGTCACTTTCCTCAAGTGCTAAGCCATCTGCTCTGCTACAGCCACAGTGTCGTGGATCCAGAACTTCAGTGACATCATGCAAAGCTTTGATCTTGCAGAGAAATAAGAATCTCATCAGATCATCGAGTTTGCCAGAGTTCTTTGAACTTCTGCATTCAAAGAATTACCATAAGCTTCTGCGAATGACTCACACTCTTAGTGTTAGAACATCAGTATAAAACACAAGAACAGTGAAGTGAATATGGCGTCACAGAATTTTATGCACCATGTTAAGAGACAGCGGTGCAACTGCAGCCAAAATAGCACTGGCTCTGATGACTGAGCTTGATGGAAGAATCATTCGGAATGAGGCCAGAACTTAGTGTTATCCCGAGTGCGGGCTTCTCTAAAG